TAGTAAACTATTTTTTTAATCCTTTTTATTTTTTGTTAAAATAATATTACCATACTAATGAATAACTATTTCTAGATGCCTTGTATGTGCAGTATACCTGGTTGCATAGAAAAATATATATCCAGTGTCTATATTTAAGTTTCCACAGGATTTGATTTGAAAAGCAAACCAATGGATTAGAGAATTTGTAGAAAAAATAACTTATTATTTAAAATGTTTTAACAATTATGCATTAAAAATTATGAATTATGTTTAGGTGAAAATATATATTAAATTGTTAACTAATCTGCATTTTCACTTAGCATATTCTGTTATAGTATATATATATATACAGTATATAAAATATCCAGTTTACACCTCCACCGTCATCTATCCTCAAAGGTAAAGTGCAAATAAAACTACATTTTTTTAAATCAATTATTCTATTATGGTTATTTATACATTTACAACTACAAAACACATTTTTCAGTGTTTTCCTTATTATAGTTATTTTTGTTTTAATGTACTATTTAGCTTTAATTTGACTGTTTTTTTCGTGTTGGAACAAATTATTTGGTTTTACATGTAATCGTATGGGAAAAAATGATTCACCTTACGACATTTTCATGATACGATCTCAGTTTCAGAACGGATTAATTTTGTATCCTGAGGTACCACTGTAAACAGTTCCTCCTTCTGATTAATACATGTGCTGTTTATATTTGCTTTAAAAATTCTAAGGCTTCTAAATATCAAAGCTGGTCAGTGCAGTGCATTGTTATTAGGATGCTAGTTTGTTGTGTTTCTCTATATCTGGGTCAGCTGCATATATTGACAGAGCTGCAGAGAGCCTTGATTGTCATATATCAGCAATGTGCTCTTGTAGTTGCTTCTCCATGATCTTTTTGTGCAGCCTATATATACATACATACATACACACAAGGTCCCTTTCAAATATGAAACTGAGCGAGTCCTTCACATTTTTAAGTAGAGTGAAAAAGTGGGACATCTCCTATAAGTAATACTTATGTCCTTTTTCTTGCTATCATACTAAATACCGATCTCAGGAGGGGGTGAAGGTCACTATGCAATGTTCCTCTTTAACCTGGCAATCATTATATAGTACATTTAGCCCTTCCAGTGGTTTGGGGAGGTCAAGAGCAAACTTATCAGCTATCTTATGCATCAATGCTGCATTATAACCATGAGTTATGGCTAGACTTTCCATCTGTGCCAATTTATCATCATGTAACTGTGGAGAGGAAAAGTGGATATATATGCATGTCTAATGAGAACTCTATAAGCCAGAATTTTATATGGGTAAGAATCACATGACCCAGCTGGGATGTAGCATGGAACAAAAGTTGGTTTACGAAAGACTGAGGTTGCAATATCCATCCCCTGTGCATGGATATTGATACGTTAGAAATGTACATAATCCTTCCTTGGTCCCGCTCCATTAGCAACCCATAGGGGTTGTGATTGATAGAATAAGAAATGCCCTTATATCAGGGACCTCCTTCCATAAAATGAGGATATCATCCACATATTTCCTGTATAACAGAATGTTAGAGTGGAATGCTGGGAGGACTTTTTCTTCTAACTGACAAATCACTATCTCATACAGGTTTCCAGAAAATTGGGCTACTCATAGGGTCCTCACATTCCTGGAAGAATACTTTACTGTTGAACTAGAAAATGGCAAATCAGATGTGCCAGTTCCAGTATCTGTAGGTGGAGAGCATCATCACTAACAAACCGAAACAGTAGCAAACAGCACAGAAAGAAGGGGGAAGTTTAATAGATGGGTAAAGGGACTTAAAGTCCAAAACTGTTAGGTAGCC